TGCACTTGTCAAGTTCAGGGTCCACCTGCTCGGCTCCAAGTCGTTTGTGATCTATACACACTACGCACTGCGACTAAGTCGCACCACTTCTAGCAGAGGATGGCTAAATGGCTATCCTTCTTTGCGGAATAAAACTTCGAGGTGAAGTATAAGCCAGAAGAGCAGAATACTTTGGCTGATGCGTTTTCACGCAGACCAGATTATGAGCTAGCTCATGCCTCGAGGGTGACGTCGTCAGTGACGGATTTGATCCGCGCCGCATATGCGTGTGATAGTATGCGTGTAGCTCTGCTACAGGCTCTCCGGAGCAAAGGGTTTGGAAACTCAGACAAGTAGTTGTCGGCGCGATTAACTGTATTATAGCACCGATTTGACGGATACGTCACGAATTGTGGTTCCTCTATGATGAGGATTTACAATACTGTATTCTCTATGAAGCCCACGACACCCCACTCGGTGGTCATCTCGGTCGTGAGATGACTTATAGCGCTGTGAGTTGCCATTACTGGTGGCCCAAGCTGTACAAATGGACGAGCATTTATGTGCACGTGTGAGACGTGTCTAAGGGTGAGACCGTCTCCGAATGCGGCGGCGCCGCTGACCAATATATCAGTATCCTTTGGTTGTTGGCAGAGCATGAGTATGGACTTTGTGTTTGATCTGCTGAAGGTCTCGACGGGCAACATGAGTGTGGTGGTCTTCGTCGACCGTTTGAGCAAAATTGCTCATCTTAAGGCAGTATTGGACACCATTGACGGTGTGGGTACAGCGACGCTGTTTGTCGATCGCATCTTTTGATAACATGGAGTACCGGAGTGATTTGTCTCAGACAGACACACGCTTCGCTAAGAAGTTTTGGCCAGTCAGGGTGCTGAGCACTAAGTTAACTATGTCAAAAGTGGACCCTCTGCAGATCGATGTTCAAACTGAGCGCAAGAATGCGTCGTCGAGGACGTTCTTCACAGCGTCCGCCCTGAGACTCCGAGGCACTGGATCGGCATGCTGCCACTTGAGGAGGGGAGAACGCACGCTGCAGGGCACGGAGAATTGCCCTCTGTATATGTCTGACTTCCATTTCTCTGGTGTAGTCATTGATCGTTCGCCTGTAAGCGACCCTAGCGGCACGAAAGCTCTACTCTGCATTCAGTTCAACTCCATTAAGAGAGGAAGAATGGAGTGCAAGCCGCTTCTATATGGAGGCCTTCCATGATATGGTATACGTAGCTGCTTTGGTAATGGATCTATCACTATCCACAGAGCTCACAGTCTCTAGACATAGTCTACTATTTCACGCCTTTCTTGATTATTAGACAAATTTTTGATTAAACACAGCACGCCTGATTAGGCGGCGCAAATACCCGCGATATTTGTCGCATCAACACCTCCGTTGTTGGAAGTGTCTGTTGTAGAGTATAACCACACCGGTTCAGATTTTTGAGCGCGACCTCCTGTCTTAGAAAGCGCTGGTTTGACTAGCTCATGCTTGTATCATTCATTATCGCCAACGGGGAGCTTTACTAAATGCATAGCGCGAGGCTGGAAGCCCACGTGTCCCTCGGACCTCTCATTCGCGGAGTCCCATTACCCTCGTCCGTGTATATCTTAACACTTTGCTCTGGGACTTCTGAGCCCGGCACTTACAAAAGTGACAATAATGGAACTTTTCGTTAACAAATTATGGTACTTGCCGTAATTTGCAGTAGGCCGAGACGTTCGAGTGCCTTCGGATCTCTTGGTTCCCCAAGTAAATTTCGAATTGCGAATTGAATGGAGCTCGACGTATCCTGCAAGTCAGCGTCGAGCTCGCGTTCTTATATAACAAACCAAATTATGGCAATCTCAGTTCGACCCGCAGGGCTTACGTAGAGCTGCCGAACTATGTAGTAAGACTCCAAAGTCACCTCATGCTGCCTGTTTAACTATATTTTCATCGTAAAAAAATTGTATAGTAGAGCCATTGCAAGGCGGCCAGGTAAAGTATGGCTCAATATTTACAACGGTCGAATTAATTGACGGTTGTAGAAAGCTGTCGATCGGCACTTTCTTGAATCGAGAGGTGAGCAGCATTTATATAAACAAGATGTAATGAAAGCACGGATTATCGGTGGAAGTTTGAAGAATTGTCGGGCAAGCGTTAAGCATCAATAGGACCAACGTCGTGCCTCTTAACTTATCACATAGGTGTATGACGAGATATTTTGCACTCAATGCCCATGATGTGGTCTTAAGCCTCAGTAATACATGAACAAAGATGCTACATAGCAGTTTGCACTTGGAAACACTTGCGTGCCCTGAAGGTCTTGTTTCTGAGGCGCACGCTAATCGGTTCATTTACCGCATCACGAGCAACGACAAATATTAAAGATGCGATTTTCTAACATCCTGCTCTTCTTTGGTAAAGCACTTTAATAACCCCTCAATCTTGAGTTTCTAAACTTGAGAATGTACAGTATCACTTCCCTAACTCCGCACCCTGCAAACTTTTTCAAAGGTAGCAGGCTTAGCGCATTGCATACGTCCTCGTCTATCGTTACGTGACTTGAACTTCATAGACTGAAGGCGTATCTCCATATCCTCACGCCGTTTAAAAGACGAGATGAGAGGCAGGGCTCGATACTAAACGTCTAGAAATTGGGGCCAGCCGGCAAAAAACCTTTCATGTAAATCGTAGCGAGACTATGTGGTCAACAGACTTAAGCGAATGCTTACTGTAACTTTATATGTGTACCGATACACAGAGTTTAAGCATAACCCACATTTAAACCACACAATCAGCACTGCCTGTCATGCAGCAGATCATCGTGCCTTGTGGATCGTACGACATTGTGCTGGGCTTGTCCTTGCTGCAATCGGGTTATGTGGCTGAGGATCTGCTGAAACGTCTTCCTATCACTTCGACCTTTGTAATCCTTTCAGATGAAAATGTCGGTCCTCTCTACGCAGAGCCGCTGCGTGCTCAGTTGGCTGAGCTGCTACAGGCTCAGGATAATACCGTACGACGTGTACTACTATACACCATGCCTGCAGGTGAAGCTTCTAAGTGTCGTGAAATGAAGACAAGAATCGAAGATGAGGTTTTGTTTCCCAACCGATGCCATCGTGATACGTGTATCGTAGCTGTTGGTGGTGGTGTCGTAGGCGACTTGGCTGGCTACGTGGCTGCTACGTACATGCGTGGCATACCGTTTGTACAGATTCCGACATCACTCTTGGCTTGTGTTGACTCGAGTATTGGAGGCAAGACTGGCATTGATGTCGAGGCTGGGAAGAACCTGCTAGGTGCTTTTCACATGCCACAACGCGTTTATATTGACCTAAATGTATTACATACGCTACCTAAACGTGAACTTATCAATGGAATGGCCGAAGTCATTAAGTCCGGCGCCATCTTTAATGCTGAACTCTTTGAGCTTCTTGAAAACTCAACAGAAACGATCCTTTCACTCTCGAATATGGACATTCTGCAGCGCGTTGTTGCGCTAACTGTGCAAGTAAAAGCTACAGTCGTGACGGAAGATACCAAGGAGATGGGTCTTCGTGCTATTCTTAATTTTGGCCACAGTATTGGCCACGGGATCGAGGCATTGCTGCAGCCTGAGTATCTGCACGGTGAGTGCATATCCATTGGTTGCATTAAGGAAGCCGAGATAGCACGCGGTATGGGTTTATGCACTTCAGCTACTGTGGGAAGACTACGACGCTGTCTCTCTGCGTATGGCCTTTCAATCCAAGTTCCAAATTCTGTAGCAGCTCGTGATGTTTTACTGAAAATGGAAGTGGACAAGAAGAATAGCCAGGGCATGAAAAAGATTATATTGTTGGAAAAGATCGGCAAGGTCTTGGCCAATCCATATGCACGTCCTGTAAAAGATTATCAAATTGAGCTCGTGCTTGAGAAACAAGTTCGTATGGTACCTGGTTTTAAAGCCAGCGGTAGTATTCGTGTTCCTGGATCAAAGTCTATTTCAAATCGTGTGTTACTTATGGCAGCTCTTGGAAAAGGATTGTGTCGAATCACGGGTCTATTACACTCGGACGACACGCAAGTTATGATGAATGCTCTGCAGAAGGTTGGTGCAAAGTTTTCCTGGGAGAATAATGGTGCTGTGCTAGTTGTAGAGGGTACAGCTGGAAATTTTGTCACTGTACCCGATGGTGAAGAGATCTATCTAAGTAATGCCGGTACCGCTGCTCGCTTCCTTACGACCGCTATGACGCTGGTACCAAGCAGAAACGATGGTAGAGTTGTCGTCACGGGCAACTACCGCATGAAGGAGCGTCCTATTGCTCCATTAGTGGATGCTCTGCGTGGTAATGGATGCGAAATGACATATTTGGAAAGTGAAGGTTGTCCACCATTAGCAATTCGCGGCACTGGATTACGTGGTGGCACTGTTCGTTTAGCCGCTAAGGTAAGCAGTCAGTACGTGTCGTCTGTGCTTATAAGCGCACCGTATGCTACAGAACCACTTGTACTTGAGCTTGAAGAAAAAGAACCCACTTCACTACCTTACATTCGGATGACTACACAGCTCATGCAGCAATTTGGCATTTCTGTGGAGACACTTGCCACCAATCGATATCGTGTACCGTGTGGTGCATATGAGAATCCCAAGGAAGTTTCAGTAGAAGTCGACGCGTCGTCAGCTTCCTACCCATTGGCGTTCGCTGCTATTACAGGTGGACAGGTAACAGTGGAGGCTCTGGGTGATACCAGCTTACAGGGAGATGCTGGCTTTCACAAGTTGCTACGTTCTATGGGATGCACTACAGCTCAAAGTGCTTATTCAACTACAGTCACAGGTCCGCAGAACGGCTTACCCCTAAAAGCGGTAGAGATCAACATGGAGACTATGACTGACGCTTTCATGACTGCTGTCGTACTTGCTGCCGTGGCGGACGGTACGACCAAGATCACTGGCATTGCAAACCAACGAGTCAAGGAGTGCAATCGCATTGAGGTTATGGTGACGGAGCTACGCAAGATTGGCGTAGAGTGTGGTGAGCTGCCCGACGGCATTTGGATAAAAGGAACTGCAGGAAAGACTGATCACCTGAAAAAAGCATCGATAGCGTGCCACAACGATCACCGTATCGCAATGAGCTTTGCTGTCCTTGGTAGCGTCGTGGATAATGTAGTTATCACGGACAAGGAATGCACGGATAAAACATATCCAGAGTTTTGGGACCACGTGCAGATGCATCTTGGACTTCAAGTGATGCCTGTCGTTGAGGGAAAACATTGCATGACAGATCCTGATACGTCAATTCCAAGTGTGTTTTTAATTGGAATGCGTGGCGCGGGCAAGAGCTCACTCGCAAAGGCTGCAGCCGCCACACTACATCTTGATTTGCTAGATACTGACAAAATGCTTGAAGAAGAGTTAGGCGAATCTATTGCAAACTTTGTCGCCCGGCATAATCACACGTGGGAAGTCTTTCGCGAAAAGCAGAAAAATCTCATGCTGCGCTTAATTGCGAACCCACCTTCAAGTACCATCATCTCTTGTGGTGGTGGCATCGTCGAGACGCCAGAAATTGTGGACGCATTACAGAATTATCCGTACGTGGTTCATGTGCACCGTGACATCACAGACGTTCTGGCTTATTTAGACTCGAAAGAAGAATCACACCGCCCGTCATTAGGAGATAGCCACGCAAATGTCTGGAAACGACGGGAGCCTCTTTACCTGCGCTGCGCAACGTTTGAATTCGTCGTCAACACAGGCGACGTAGATTTCTCTCGTATTAATCGTGATTTCGTGCGTTTTCTTTCCGTCATTACTCCTGGCCTATCAACCAGCTTCGACTTCCGCTCTTCGTGCTGCTCAGACACATTTTTTCTGTCGCTGACGTTTCCTGACATGAATGATGCTCGTTCAATCATCAATGACATTTCGAAAGGTGCTGATGCGCTAGAACTTCGTGTGGATCTGCTGAAGTACCCGACAGATACGAAATATGTTGCAGCTCAAGTAGCACTTATCCGTGCTCTCTCAACCCTCCCAATCATCTTCACTGTGCGCTCAAGGGGCCAGGGCGGCGCCTTCCCTGATGGAAAAGAGAATGAGAAGAAGATGTTTGAACTGCTTCAACTGGGTGTTCGCTTGGGTTGTGAGTTCGTTGATATGGAGACGTGCTGGTCACACAAGGCCCGCGAGCAGTTTCTATTGCACCGTCATCGATCTGCTATAATCTCATCTTTCCATGCTGTTCAGAAACCAATGTCAGAGGCGGAAATTAAGGCGATTTTTCGCACGTGTTACTCCCAGGGTCGGGTCCAGATCGTGAAAGTTGTCGCCAAAGCTTATTCTGCAGATGACGCGCTTATGGTTGACCGCATTGCTAGAGATTTCGCACTTGCATGGCGTCAGCATATGCCAATCATTTCTTTGTGCACAACAAATGCCGGTAAATTGACTCGTGTTTTAAATTGCACACTTACGCCTGTGACGCATCCACTATTGCCCGCGGCCGCTGCGCCTGGACAACTGTCGATTGAGGAGATTATGACCTTGCGCAAACAGCTTGGAATGCTTCCAGGTACTTGACTGAATATGATACTTGTGCTAGTGTCGTGATGTCACTCATTTGTGTTTGTACTTTATCAGCACGTGAATTTTTCTTGTTTGGATCGCCAATTCAGAAGTCGCCGTCGCCTGCAATGCACAATGCCGGATTTGAGTCAAACTCACTGGCGTCTCTTTTTACTTATGGTCTTCACGAGACTACAGATGTTCTAGAAATTGTCAAGCGCATGCAAGTGCCTCACACGAGCTTTGGAGGCGGTTCTGTCACTATTCCTTTAAAAGTAGATATCATGGAACATTTAAACAAACTTACACCAGCTGCACAGGCTATCGGTGCCGTCAACACGATCATTCGTCAAGAATACAACGGATCGCCTTACTGGATAGGAGACAACACCGATTGGGTTGGTATCTTACGTCCAATTTCTAAACGATTAGACTTTCTCAAGAAACCTGCAAGTGAGTTGACGGCGCTTGTTGTTGGTGCCGGTGGCACTTCAATGGCAGCATCGTACGCGATGCGCCACTTGGGTGTCGCCAAACTCTTTATCTATAACCGTACGCTGGAGAAGGCTCAGCTTGTGGCTGCGCGTTTTGATGCTGAGGCCTTGTCGGAGCTGACCAAAGAGACACTTGCTCATGCTGATGTGGTTATCGGCACAATTCCGGCACAAGCTGGCTTTCAGTTACCAGAGTATCTCATGGCTCCACGTGGTGACGGTAGCAAGATAGTGGTGCTAGACGCAGCATACTTGCCTCCTATTACGCCGATGTTGGCTCATGCGCATGAGTCGGGCAGTGCATTATGCATTCAGGGCTACGAAATGTTGTACGAGCAGGGCATTGAGCAATTTCGTCGCTGGCATAAAGCGACCCAAGTATGGCCAATTAATGAAGAGGCAATGAAAGAAGCCTGCCGTCAGCATATTCCAGTGACCGAGCGACTTTCAGATGCCTAAACTTTGAGCTAGCAAGATTGGGCATCAACACTCAGGACTGTATTTCATTTAGCATCTATAGCTAGTCTCTTTGAGCGCCATAAAATCATCACAGCTCCGGCACAGGCTAAGACAGCGCCGGCGTAATGGACAGGAATAGAGATATAGCAACCGTTCGTGTCCATGTTGGCCAGAGCCTAATCAACAAAAAATGCTCGTCAGTCTTGATAGACAAAGGAATTAATGAATATTTGTGCTTATCGTACCGATAGAGCGACACCCATGTGAATACCAAAAACAACAGTAATGATTAGCACAGATCGTTTGCGGTAGCCATCAAATGCAACGACCATGAGAGCCACGTCTAGTGCCGTGAGTGCAAGTGTAGAGAGGGCAGCTGAAAAGATGAGTGGAATACTTTCGCACGAGGATGAAAAGGCAGCACCACGTGAGCCTGTTGATGATCCGACGAGACTGCCAAACATGAGCAGCGCGTGCATAGCAGAGAAGCCTACGCCTCCAGCGAGAGACGATGTAATGTCATTAAGTGGAAGTTGATGTGAAGACGTTGTCACGCGTTTAACTGCCTTCTCTGTACGTGTATAGAGATAAAAGAAAAGCATACGAAAAGCTTCTTGCACTACGACACCAACTGGCACCGTAGCCGACAGTGACGTCTTTAAGGGTGGTATAAGATGCCATAACGTAGCCGTAACGAGAATTGCTACAAGCCACACGAAAGCCGCACTAAGCGCCAAAATTACCAACTGTGCACGTTTGGCTACAACGAAAAAGAAGAGCGCAGCGAGTGGACCGAAACCGATAAGGATACAGCCAAAGAAGAGCGGCCAATTTACCGGTCCGTCGTGCAGCGCCATGTTAATGATATTCTTCTGGCTTTTTGGAAAGAGGATGTGCACCACATAATAATGAGATTTGTCGGATAAAAAATAAGTATAGTGTGCTTTATCTCTTTGGTGTTTAACCGGATAATGTTATATTTGATTAAATTAATATTACTCAAAACACAAATGATATCATTTATATATTTACAATTAATAGGTACGACGAACAAATATATAGGAAATAGTCAATGAATCAGCTCAACAGATGTGCTTTCAAATGGATGTCGCTTCAATGCACAGCGGTACTTTAATACCTTCTTTGCAATCAAACTATTGTTCAAGCAAATATCTGACGAGTTATTAGCTGTTTGAACAAGTTCTAAAATCTTGGCCTGCGTACGCAACCGGAACGCTTCACTTTTGAACGAAACACCTTTTTCTTGCTGACTGTTTGATGACGAATGTTGAATTGGGAGTGAAGTAGTTAATAGAACTTGTGGTTTAGTGAGAGTTGACGTTATTGCTGGATCCACGAAAAACGGTGGCATTCCACTCTTCATTGTAATCATCTTGCACATGGTATTCGACGGGGAGTGTGGAGTAAAATTGAGAATGAGCATTTCAATGATACATAGAGTGCATCTCTTATAATTAGCAACTGGTCATGTCGTTACATTGCGCTTTTTTACAAGCAGCACGTTTTTGTCACTTCAACATCGAAGACGGCGAATCCCAAGATTCTTTTCGTCTATTGTTTCTACAAAGACGATGACTTCATCGACTTTATGTAAGAAAATTGGCAGGTCCTCCATCCAAGATCATATCATTACCACCTCGTGCACTTTTCTGCAAAGTCTTCTTTTCCCCAAATCATTGATATGATAAGATGAATGAATATATATATTGAGAAAGCTAAATTGAACGCATGTCGATAGAGAGTCAATACCAGAGCAGCAGACCTCATTCGATGAATAATTTGATTGTACTTTTCATCGAATAATGTCGAGCTTCCTCTTGTAAATAAGTAAAATCTTTGTAATCTTCGGCATGCCACCGAGGCCTAAAATTGAAGCAACACTCTCGTTTTCATTAAGGGCTTTCACATGTGATATTTGCCAATTAATGT